TAAACTGTTTCAGAGGAGTGATCATAGCGCTCTGCATCAGCAGTGCTGCGTCTGACTCCCTGCCAGCTCCCAGATCAGCTTCTCTCATTGGTTGATGCGGCGCATCCAGCAGCTAAAGTTACATTTTTCCAGCAGCTGCTGCTTGTGAAGCGCCTCAGATGCTCAGAAGGGTTACTGCTTTTTAAATAAAAAATAAAATGAGCCCAAAACACACTTGGAACCACCTTTCAGGAAATATAACCAAGAACTGCAGAGGTTGATGCGGGGAAATCAGCACTGCAGCGCTTTAAAGATGGAATAGTTTTTATTGCTCCACATTTCTGGATGTTTTCACCTTGAACTTGTGCTCGTAGCTCTCCAGCGCCTCCATCACCATGCACACAGCCTCCATGGAGCGCTCCAGCCTGCCATCCACGCCGTTAAAACGGTACATGCTTCCCGACACGTCGGCCAGCAGCCGCAGACGCTTTGGCTTCTGCTGAGGACTGCCCAGCTGGAAGGATAAGCAGAGAGGGAGACCAATCAGAGCGCAGAACCGACGGCCTGATGGAGGCGGGAACACAATCTGTTTACTTTGCTGCAGCTTTCCTAAAATACCTGAGCTCTAAACCTTGGAGTAATTATTATAATGTAGACCAAAACTATGCAGCGGAGCGAGTTATTATGGGCGGCTCTCGGCGGCGGCTCTTAACACCAGAACACAGGGAGGGACTACAGGCAGAGCGTGAGCTCCAGGAGAGGAAACACGCTGCGGGGGAAACCTCACACACACTTCAGGCCTGGAATGACGTGTGAGAGGAAAGCATAAACATCCACGGCTACAGAAAGAAACTCACCTCTGGGTCCAGCTCTCCTCGCCGTTTATAGATGCTTTTCTCCCCAGTTAGTCCATCGATGATTTTAGCGTCGTCCAGTTCTCCCATAGCTTGGTTCTTCAGCCACTGCCGCTCCTTTCCTTTAGCCTGAACACAAACCAACCGCATTAAAACACAAAAACGGGTTTAAAGAAACTAATCGAATGAGTGTGGATGACTTTAACTTCAGACCAGCGGGTCATTAGAGGGCGCTATGGTGCCGCCCCACCCACCCAATGACCCTAATTAGGACATTTATAGACAGGTATGGGGCATTGCAGGCTAACAAGGCAGCCAAACGACCCCCATTCCAAAG